TGTCCGAAACTCATTTCACGAGTAAATCCTACTTTAAAGTTATGGGTTACAACCTTATTTCCACAAATCATCCCTACGACAGAGCTCATGGCGGCTCTGCTATCTTAATCAGATCTACCATCAAATATGAAGTTTTGGAAGAAGTGAAAGAAGAATATTTACAAGCGGCCGGTGTTAAAATTAATGTGACTCTCACGATTTACCCATATATTCAGTATACTTTCCACCACGATTCAGTATAAGAACTGATCAGTATGAGGATATTTTTAAAAATTTTGGCTCCAAATTTTTTGTAGGAGGGGACTTTAATGCAAAGCACCCATGGTGGGGATCTAGGCTCGTTAACCCTAAAGGCAGAGAGCTTCAAAGATGCATCACTAAAAGAAATTATGACATTTTGTCTACAGGCATGCCAACATACTGGCCAAGTGATCCCAGAAAAATCCCGGATCTTCTTGATTTTGTGGTATACACTGGTATACCCAATAGCAAACTAAGCATTGAGGGCAGTAATGATCTTAGTTCCGATCATTCTCCCTTAATTGTGTTATATAATGGCAATGTTCATAAAATTTCTAAAAAATATAAGATCCTTACCCCAAAAACTAACATCGAATTATTTCAACAGTGGATTGCTGAACATATTGACTTAAATGTATCGATAGAAACAGGCGTTGACCTGGACGCAGCAATATAATCTTCTACAAATCTTATCCTTGAGGCTGCACATTTATCAAGCCCTAAGGAGCAACCTACTCCTAATGATAATATTCAACTTCCAGCTGAAATATTGCAGCTTATTGCTTCCAAGAGAAGATTAAGAAAAGCCTGGCAGGAAAATAGATATCCCGCAGAAAAGAGAGCTCTTAATAAAGCGACGAAGCAACTAAAGTTAAAGCTATCTGATTTTAAAAATAAGTATTTCAGTTCGTTCATTAAAAACCTTGAACATACAAAAAATGATGAGCACAGTCTCTGGAGAGCTACAAAGTACCTAAAACGACCAACCAAGCGTAACGTCCCAGTAAGGGATTCAGATGGTGTATGGTGCAGGAGTGATGAAACCAAAGCAGAGGCTTTTGCTAAACATCTATATCAAACATTCCAGCCTAATTCTTTGAATAGCAGCACCGACGATACAGAGGTATTGAATTTTCTGGAATGTCCATGTCAAATGGACTTGCCAATCAGTAAGATATTAAATAGTGAAGTCTCAGCAGAAGTGTTTAAATTAACTAATGGCAAAACGCCTGGTTACGACTATATTGATAGCAAAGTTGTGAAGGCTCTTCCTGAGAAAGCTATCGAATTTCTAACTAATATTTACAATGCTATTCTTAATACAAACCACTACCCAACTCAGTGGAAATGTGTTGCTGTTATCATGGTACCTAAACCGAATAAACCCGAAAACTGTGTCAAGTCATACCGTCCTATTAGTCTGCTGGCAACATTTTCCAAAATATTCGAAAGAATATTTTTGCAAAGAATGTTGCCAGTAATTGAGGATCACAACATCATACCTGAACATCAGTTTGGGTTTAGAGTGAAGCATGGTACACCGGAGCAATGCCATAGGATTGAAAATGTTATTACAGATGCACTTCAGCAGCTTTTCTAGATATTCAACAAGCCTATGACAAAGTATGGCACGCGGGACTTCTTTTTAAAATAAAATAGCTTTTGCCAGTACATTTCTACTTAGTACTCAAGTCCTATTTAAGTTACAGACACTTTTACGTAAGATACCAGGATGCGACATCAGAAATTTATGGAATTAATGCTGGTGTGCCTCAGGGTAGTGTTTTAGGTCCCGACATATACTATATTTACATCGGATATGCCAACATCAGAAGAAGTAGAAGTGGCGACTTTTGCTGATGATACCGCTTTTATCGCTTGTAGCGAGTCCCCTGTAGAAGCTTCTTCTAATCTTCAAAATCAACTTGACCTTTTAGAATCTTGGCTTATAAAATGGAAAATTAAAGTTAACGCAGAAAAGTCCACACATGTCACTTTTACATTAAGAAGAGATCAATGTCCTGCTGTATTTCTCAATAATAATCAGATTCCTACTAGTGATAAGGTCAAATACTTAGGAATGCATCTTGATCGACGCCTAACTTGGAAACCCCATATCAAGGCTAAACAACAGCAACTAAAAATAAAAACAAAACGGATGTACTGGCTGTTGGGTCGCAAATCTCAACTAAGTCTAGAAAACAAAGTACGGCTATACAAAGCTATACTTAAACCTATTTGGACCTACGGCATACAGCTTTGGGGTACTGCTAGGAAATCCAATGTGGAGATCCTGCAACGGTATCAATCTAAAACATTACGATCAATGGTTAATGCGCCTTGGTTTGTCACTAATGAAGCTATTCACAAGGACCTGGGTATTCCATTTATAAAGTGTGAATTACCAAAATACAGTGCTAGATATCTTACACGCCTATCTAACCACATAAACCCAACTGCTATTTGTTTATTAGATACCACTAACGAAACTATACGGCTAAAGCGCCGCCATTCCTCTAAATTTGAATTCTCTCTAAAAAAATATATATATATTTATATGTACATATATATAAATATATATTATTATATATATATGTATATATATATATATATATTATATGTATATTTATAAAAAGAAAAAAAAATTGTAATTACTATAATAAAAAGCTAGAAAGCTTAAGTTAAATTTAGATAAATAAGAACCCTACTTTAAGTGAGAAATTATAATGAACTCTACAATGAAGCTAAGCAATTTTTAAATAATTTTGAAATTTATACAACTTAAGAATGTATGTAAATATATCAAATTTAATACATATTTCTCTATGTAGATTTGTGCAAGGCAAACTACCGCTGTCATTATTTTATAAGATCTAATTTGCTGAATGTCTCATGTAAGATAGATTGCAAATAAAATATAAGTTATAAAAAAAAAATAATTAGTTTTTAGCATCTTAACATTTGTTTTTTAATTTAGTTTGTTCTTATTGTGAATAAAATTTTCTTATTTTATTTTATTTCATTTAGTTTATAGTATCTTATTTAATTTTTTGTCTTTTTCAACTTATTTGGATTTCTTATAATTTTAAAATTTTGTTTTAAAAATCAAAAGTTTTTTACTTTTATGATTTAAATTTTTTCTTTTCTTTACCTTTTAGATTTTATTGTTTTAAGAAAAAAAATTTATCTCATTTAATTTTTAAAAAGTATTTTAATTTTTTTTTTTTGTATATTTCATTTTATTTATTTTTTATTTTTTTATGAAATTTTTATTTATTACTTTTTATTGTTTTAAAATGAAAATTATATATTTTTTAATCTAATTCAATAAAAAAAAAAAACACTGCTAAAAGGCGAACAACACAACGCTACGGCTTCTTCGTTAGCAGATCTTTCCAATAGTCTTTCGAAAGACAGTAAAGAGCTTTCGACATAATTGCATGAATAGACAATTGTCTTACGAAAGACTTTTCTCTTTCGACAGACTGTGGTGAGTTGAAAGACGGTTGCAGGAATTGTCCTGTTTAAGTTCCGAAGAGTTGGTAAAGTTGTCTGTGTGAAACTTTGCAGTTTACTATTTTTGTCCACGCCAAATATCGGGACGCGACACTGTGCGCCACTCTCACTGTGCAGACTATTTTTTCGATTGTGTGTTTACGATTTTGCATTCACCTAATGCAACAACATAGGATACGAATAAACAATTGTTGCAGGCACAACTAGCCGGAAAATAAGCAAAATTTGTTTGTATAAGTATTTTTGCCTTTTTTCCCCCACTACAAGCCGCTTAATCGGCAGGACGAAAAACATCTAAAGCAGGAGCAGGAGCATATAATCCTAAGGCAGCTAGCTAGCTGGTCTGATATTCTGCTAAGGACTGAGTTTTGTATATGCATTTGCGCTTCTATTTTTTGTATATTTTTTTAGCTTTTTGGTATAGCCAAGTGCTACGCTCTAATCTGACAGGTGAAATGGATTTGTTGCTTTTCCAATTCCAATCTTCCAACATCGTCTCCTACGCTGCTTTGTTCTCTGTAGTAAAGGCTGTGTAGTATTCCATGTTGGACAGGCCCTTAGCTGCTTCACTAAAGCGCCGTCTCATGAGTATGTGTGTGTGTGTGTTTCTAAAGAGGGCTCTCCTTTGGCCTGCTAGCCGGTGGACAATGTGATTTATGTAGCTTAGAAATTGCAAAACAGGAACCTGACCAACATTGAAACGAAACTTTTGCGTATTTTAATTTCAGCCAAACGGAAATGGGAAGCGAGAAGTGTAGAAAAAAGTAAAAAAATAAATCAAGAAAATAAGTTGAATAAAGCAACCACAAAACAGGCCAAAAAACTTTGTGGCAAACGAAATTTCATGCGCCATCTAATGA